TGGCAATGAGAAATGTACTAATTAACTAATTAACTAATATTAATAAAAAATGTATGAATGTGTAAACTAAATTAATGGGAGTGTGAGTGTATAAGTAATAGGATGAAATTAATTATTATTAATTAAAGTGTAACTAATATATACGTAGTAATATATAAGTATACTACTCTAAGATGAGTAGTACACTTATATTTAATACTTTAATATATATATATACTTAATAATGTATTTATAAGTAGATAATAAGTATATAAGTAGATATAATAATTGTTTAACTAATATATAATATAATGTTTATAGTATATATAATATATAAGTATATTACTATAAGATGAGTAATACACTTAGATTTAATACTTTAATATATATAAATATATATTAAGTAGATGTAATATGTAAATATAAGTAAATAACAATAATACAATAAGTAGATATTAAGTAGATATGAAGTATATATTAAGTAGATAATAAGTATATACTCCCTCCGTTCTTTTTTAGTTGCAGCACTTTCCTTTTTGGATAGTTTCAAAATAATTGCAACATATCTATTTTAGGAGAAAAATTCTAAAGGTACACACTTTTTTGTGTACACACTTTTTACACATGTCTGTGTAAGTTTTTTTTATGTCTGTGTACAGACATAAAAAAACTTACACAGACATGTGTAAAAAGTGTGTACACAAAAAGTGTGTACACCAAGTCCAACTCATTTTAGGATATAAAAATGAGTTGAATTGTCTTTACTACCCTTATTTAATTCACTATCAGCTAGACAACCACCCCTCTCCAATTTCATCCGTTTCTGTATCCACCCACCCGGCCACTCGTGCCTTCTTCAACCTCAACACATCTTTCAACCTCAAATCCTCTTCCTTCTCTAAAGATCTGGCTTTTAAGAAACCTCAGTTGGATTTCATGCAGTCACCAGATCTCTTTTCAGACTAGGACATTTGCTAGATTTGACGAAATCCTTTGTGAAACCCGGCAGTCTAACCTTGAAATATGTTTCCCTACTAAGTTTCCCTACCACCACTTCTCTTTTCTTCTTTGGTTGGCTCTTCTCTACTAAGAGATTGGGAAGAGTACCTTCCCCCAGTCAAACTTACCCAAACGGACCGTCCTAGATTTCATCTCCGACAACCCCATTTGATTTTATGATTTGTGGGATTTGATTCTTCAGACCGCCGTTTAGGTTGCGAGGTCGAAGATGAACGCCGACGGGAAACTGTGATGGCCGATGGGTATAGAGACAAAAGTTGTACTATTCAACCAATAGATGTGCTTTTCTAGACCATATGAGGGCACGAATGGTTTTTTGAGTTTTGGTAAGAGTATCCTAAAATGTACCCCATTTTTACTCCAACCCCTAACGTGTGATCATAAATGGGCCAATTCATTTAAGTGTTGCCCCACTTAAATGAATTGTCCCATTTATGGCCACACATTAGGTGTTGAGGTAAAAATGGGGTACATTTGGGATACCTTTAGCATTTGTGTGGTTTTTTTCCTTATTATATAAGGGTACAAAGGGAAATCAGTTATTTTATCTATGTTTCTTAATTTGTGTGCCGATGCTACGTTGCATCTAAATAATAAAAACGGAAGAGAGTATTAAGTAGATAATAAATTTTAGTAACATAATATACTTTTGTTCTGAAAAATCTTTACACTTTCCATTTTTAGTAGTATCAGGAAGATCTTTACACTTCCTTATTTGTCTTATTTGAGAAATAAATCTACACAAAACAGTGCCAAACAATGCCAAACAGTATTCATTTCCTTAACAACTGTGAGGTTAAAGTGTAGATCTTTTGGAACGGGAGGGAGTACGTAGTATGTATTTATAAGTAGATAATTAATGTATAAGTAGATATAATAATTATATAGATAATTGGAGAAGATGAAAATGATTAAGAGTATTAGAGAATAGAGAGTAGGAAGAGTTAGGAGTGGACTCGGACCGGGCCAACCGCCCCGGAACCGAACCAGCCCGGTACTGTGTGGGTCCGGACCGGCCCGGTGAACCGTGAACAGGTTGGTGCCCGGTTCGAGTCACCTGGCCCGGTGAGGTAGGCGGTTCGGGCCCGGTGACCCGTGAACAGGTTGGTGCCCGGTTCGAGCCACCCAGCCCGGTGAGGTAGGCGGTTCAGGCCCGGGCCTGCTAAATAGTGAACCGGTCCGACCGGTTCGGACCCGATCCGGGCCAAATTTTTTTTTGTTTGTTTTTTGAATTTTTTTTAAGTTTTTGGGTTGGGCTGGGTATGATGGGCTATTTGAGGTGGTTTGAGGGTGAGGGGGGAGGGTTGACGGTTAATTAGGAAAAGCCAAAAAAAATGAACCTAGGCCTGGCCCGACCCAAACCCGAAGGTTACCCGGTCCGATTCCGGACCTCCCCTTTCATGAAATAAGACCCGACCAGGCCCAAACCGGTCCACCCCTAGAAAGAGTTAGAGAAAATGTGTAGAAAAATATATAGAAAATAGAACTATTTATAGATTTTTTTTGTACCCCTCTCAAGACCGTTCTCCAAGCCAAAGGCTATAGAGCCATTTGGGACTTTTCCCAATGGCTAGGAGCCTAGGAGTATCAAAAAGAAAAAAAATTGTTTTTAAATAGAGCAATTACAAGGAATACAACCCCTGCCAGGCCAGTTCATTTTTGGAGACCCGGAACTAGGGGTGGATTCGATTCGGGCCACCCGGCCCGTGACCCGGCCCGACCCGGTACTGTGCGGGCCCGGGACCGGCCCGGTCGGGCGGTCCGGGACCGGGTGTAGACCCGAACCGGTGGGAAAGGGCGGGGCGGGCACGGTTACGGAAAAATGTGACCCGGCCCGGCGGGGTCGGGCCCGGGCCCGGGTCCGGGTCCAACGGTATAATTTTAAAAAAAAATAAAAAAATTTGTTAAATTGGTACTACTAGCTGTTATGGGTGGGCTGGGGACAACCCAAACGGCTATATAGCCGTTGGGTGGGGTGTTGGGGGGTCCGGGGGGGGTTGGGTGGTGGGGGGTGGGGGGTAAAAAAAACCTATAAATACTCCTAATCTTAAAGATTTTTTCATATCTCTTCTGCAATTCTTCCTAAATCCTATTCTTAACTCTCTACTCTCTAATTCTCTTATTCTCCATTCTCCAATATATTATATTTATTATTTATAGTTTATATTAATTATCTACTTATATTATATAAACTATAAATAGATATAAATAGTATTATATTACTTATATCTGTTATCTAATTATATATTACTTATATATTTATTATATCTATTAATATAGTTGGAATTATATCTAATTAATTTGAAGTCATTCTATTACTCCCATCCGAAAGACCGAAAGTCCGAAAGAGGTACGAAATTATTCTATTATTTACACTTGTTTAATTACTAGTTAATTTGCTATATTTTACTCTAGTTTAATAGTTAGATAAATAGTTAATTACTTTTTTACAATTTTTTATTAATTGCTACATTTGACTCTAGTTTAAAAAAATATGTTGTACACAAAACTAGTTAATTCACTAGTTAATTTGCTATAACTCGAATTAATAGTTAGATAAATAGTTAATTAGTTTTTTACAATTTTTTATTATTTGCTACATTTGACTCTAGTTTAAAAAATATGTTGTACACAAAACTAGTTAATTCACTAGTTAATTTGCTATAACTCGAATTAATAGTTAGATAAATAGTTAATTAGTTTTTTACAATTTTTTATTAATTGCTACATTTGACTCTAGTTTAAAAAATATGTTGTACACAAAACTAGTTTTTTACAATTTTTTATTAATCGTTACCTTTTTTAGATGGATCGTCCTAGATATTCGGTTGATATGGGTAACCTCGAGCGCAACCGAACGAAAGAGCTTGCGAGGAAGAGATCCCGCAAAGGTAAATCACATATCGGCTCTTCATCTCAAAGTCGAGATGATTTTGATACGGGTTATGCAAGAAGGGATGGGGATGCGATGACCGACGAACAACTAGAACAAGAATTGCACCGACATAATTCCCGCTTTTTTCAAGACCAACCGAGGACCATTGACGAAGAAGAACTCGAGGACGAGGACGACGATGTGGAGGAAGTAATTCCGGAGAGTCACGACGACGAGGAGGAGGAGGAGGGTGGCGGCAGCCATGACGCTGACCAACCAGCCTCATCCCAAACAGGTACAAAAAAAAAGTAAATCTGAACTAATGGCTAATAATTTTTCTAAATGAAAGGACCCGAACACCGGGAATTGGACCGCAACTTGCAATTGGTGCAAGAAAAACTATAACTTGGGGATTTCCGGCGGATACGGATCCACCACAAGACACCTTAAGTCCAAACACCCGGTGGAGTATGCAAAATTAGGCGGCGGAACGGGGAAGCAAACGCAAATATCGAGGTTTGCAAATAACCAACAAGCTTTTAGTAATTTCTCATACAATGATGCATAAAATTTGACAGGTATGGCTAACTTACTTGTTGAAGAAAATTTACCTTATTTATTTTCTGAAAGTCTTGCTTTTCGTATGCACTTGAAATTGTTTTTTAATACTTGTATAAAACTATAAAGTATAAAATATAAATTAAAAAAAAAAAATTAACCGACCTGGCCCAGCCCGACAGGTGGCCCGACCCGTGACCCGGGCTGGTGGCCCGACCCGTGACCCGGGCTGGTGGCCCGACCCGTGACCCGGGCGTAGTGATGGATTCGGTTCGGGACCCGTGCCGAATCCATCCCTACCCGGGCAGGTGGCCCGGCCCGAACCGGACCCGTCCAACCCTCGGGCCGGTCCTAGGCCCGGCCCGGCCCAAATCCACCCCTACCCGGAACCCGCCCCAAGATAATACGGCTCGGGTCTACTGGACCCGTCCAGAACCGGTACCTGGGCTGGGCTGGGCCGGTAACAAACAGTAACAATTCAGTTCGGTTGACCTGGCCCAAGTCCATCCCTAATTTTGGTTATTAAACAATTCAAAATCCAAATTCAAAAGTTGCATATTTAGTGAACAAAAGACCGATAAAACTTGATTTCATCAACCGGTTCTTAGTTTTTTTCTAATCCATCAATCTCTAAATTAATAGTTATGTTTTCAGATTCTTTAAATGATAAACTAATATATCCTCGAGTACATAAACAAAACATAAGGCACAAAATTAACAAGTATATCAAAAGAGAGAAATGTAACGCACCAATTATACATAAACTAAGAACATTAAAAACTACAGTGGTCTACAATTGTCAACAGGGAACTAGGGAAGTAGGGAACGCCCATCCACCATGAACAAAATGGTAGAGTACTAGTTTTCATGTCCCTAAGAGATCTGGTCAACTCAACTCTGAACCACACCAGAACAACACTCTTCAGAGATTGATCAAAATCTGACTTCTAAACTCTACCCTCAATAGTAACTGCCATAATAAGCAGCTCCTGCTGTAGGAGGAACTGCTGCAGGCGATGGCTGCTGTACAGGTGTTAGAGTTGCTGCGACAGCCGGCTGCGCATAACTCTGCACATCAGAAGGGCCCGTTTGAATTTCAGAAAAATACTAGGGAAAGAAAAAAGCAAGGACAACTGGAAGGAAATAAGAATATATACGCACAAGAGTAAAAAATTTAAATTCTACGTGTCCCGCAAAAGATAATACTCCCTCCGTCCCGAAATAATCGTCCTGTTTTGACCTTCACACAGATTAAGAAAACAAAGTTGATTTCACACAGTAGCGAAACTGTTTGGCACTGTAGCGACACTGCTTGGCACTATAGCGACACTGTTTGGCACTGTTTGGCACTGTTTTATATAGATTTGTTTACCAAATAAGGAAAGGAGACAATTACTTCGGGACGGACCGAAAAGGAAAGCAGGACAATTATTTTGGGACGGAGGGAGTATTAATTGACTTTCATTTTCCTTTGGATTACCCAATGTAAAACTAAATACATGAAAATTTACCCTAAAAGTTGTCATTTTCCAAGGTTATTTCATTAAGCAGCAAATATTATTCTTCTTTAAGTGGATATTCCAAAGAATTTACCTGTGTAGGATATGCTGAAGGATAAGCTCCATAAGGTGCAACTGCTTGAGGTACTGACGTAGGAGGTACTTGTGTAGCTCCATAAGCACTTCCGTAGCTACCGTAGGCATTATATGCAGCCGTCTGAAACAAACCCAGTAAAAGATGCTCTAAGTCAAGGAATTACTAAAATACAGAACTAATCATGTCCTACGCTTCAATTATTTTAAAATAGGATATTATCAATAGAAAACTTCCTAGTAATCCTCGGTGTTTCGAAATCGGTTTATTGGGTTTAAAATGGTTTAAAATGACATTTCTCTAGAGGACTACGCACCATCAGCATTTCACTTTGGAACCAAAAGATAAGAGAGAGTAGAGAGCATAACACAAGCACTTTAAATTGCACAAAAAGAAGAAAATTTTTATCACCCTTGGTTCGCATTAATCATACTAAGCAGATGAAAACCCAAACCAAATCCCCAATAAATCTGGGGATGCTAAAATGGTCAAACAGGCAAGCCAAACTAAGGTCTCGGCAAAAATAAAGTACTGAAAAAAAAGAGTCCCATGGTACTGCTTGATAAAAAGTGGCAACAGTATATTTTACTTGTTGGGTATAAGCAGGATTCCACTGCTGAGCTTGAACTTGAGCTTGAGTTGTTTGTGGCCAAGTTTGAGGCTGTATGCCGTAACCTGCAGGCCACTGGTTCTGCACAGCAGCAGGATATGACCCCACTGCTGATACAGCAACTGGGGTACCAGCTTTAACCAACTTTGTCTTGTCAGAAGCCAGATAATCATCTGCATGACGCTTCTTTGACTCTAATAAAGAGGTTCTGTTACGTAAGAAGAGCTTGGCATGTCGATCATCAGCTTTCTTGATAGTTTTTGTGTCCCCAAAAAGGTCCAAGAACTGCAGAAACCAGTAGAATTAATTCATCAAGGCATGGAACAAATCTTGCAAAATTGACAATATTAACTGTGCATACATTAAATAGTTTTAAAACTTGACATAAAATTTCATCCAAAAAAAAACATGACATAAAATAAAATTCATTTAGTGTTAACCATAAATAAGGGTAGAGTGGTCATTTTGTAAGACTCCTTAATGTCTGCATTTCTTTTCTAAGACGTCAATTATTTTGGGATAGATGGAGCAATTACCAATAGATTTCGTATGCCACCACATTCATGAACTCTTGTGAGATAAACACAACCATCTCTAGGCACAAGTTTTTCAAATCAATGCATTGCAAAGTAAAACGTATTAAATAATCACCTCCAAATAAATGCTTGACAACTCTTCTCTTTCATCAATGCTTGCAACCGTAGATGCATCAATTGTAGGAACAATGAATCTATCAACTAGAGGATCCAAATAATCGATTCTCTTTGTATTTGGCTGAATTGATTCTAAATGGATGATTGCCTACAGGACAATGAAAGAGAGAAGCACATAGCAAGAATGCCAAATTAATATGATAAACAAGGACTCCAATAACACTTTTGGGAATGTACCAGGCCATTCATTTCAAGAGCATGGGAGCGGGAACAGAAAGATACCTCAAGTAGTGGTTTAGACAAGTTTCCATTTTCAACTGCCTGATCAATGATTTCTCTAGCCTTTTCCACTTTGCCAGAAACCTTAAGATATTTTATCGTAAAGAACACACAAAAATAAACAGAAACCAGATATAACCCATGCTACATCAATTTTGAAGGCAACCTAATGACAGGCTAAAACATAGTATTAAAACAACAAAAGCAACCAGGCATCTCTTGAACAAGGGATAGAAAAGGATAGTTCTGAAACAACAAAATAAACAATACTTCACTTCAAAAAGGGGTATAGTTTTAAACAACATATTGAGGAATGAAGACAGCCATGTCTGCTGCACTCCACGAAATTTCTAGATAATTTCCTTTGGCAAGGAATACTTCATTCAAACCTAACCTATTATGCAAAAGAAAGAGAGTACCCTGACCACGAAACAAAAAGACTTGGTGTGTTAAAAAATGAATTTAAAAGCTTTCCAATTATGATTGGTCACCAAACTAATAAGACTAAAACTGGCTAAAATTACACATTTGTAACTCTCTCAACCAAATTACATGCAAAGATGGCCAAGGTCATGGCAATTCTCAATCTTACACCTTTTGCAAAAAATTGAACTAATAAGACTAAACATAGCTAAAATTACACATTCATAACCCTCACACCAAAGTGTATATAAAGATGGACAAGCTCATAGTGATTCTCAATCCTACAACTTTTGTTAAAATAACAAAAGGTACATTAAATTTAATTGATTCACCATGAAAGTGAAAAGGTGTAGCTGTCAGGATGAAAGAGCCATTTACTACGGATGTGGAAAAGGTATCTATACAAGAGTGCTTGGTCTGTCCCAAAAAATTCATGTTACAAAAAAATAGACCCAAAAACATGTCATTTTCAACAAAACAAGCTGCTAATCTTTTATTTGATTTCCCAAGAAAGATAAAGACAAGTTCAATATGATAAATTTGGTCAAACAAACAAAAAGATATTTGTAGGATTCATGATTTAAAAGATGCCACTCAAGAATTAAAGGCTAATAAGACACATACCAAGTAAAGAAACCGGGAGTACTGGGCAAACAGTAAAGGTAAAGATTGTGAGTGTTCTTTTGCTTTTTCAATTGCAATAGCTTGCTGATATAGAGAACATGCATCATCAAGGTTTCCCTGCAATACAGATAAAGAATCTAAATAAAACACAAAATACACAAAGCAATATGCAAAAACAAAACAAAACTCAGCATGTAAATAAAAATCCGTACAAGTCGATGTTCCATGTTGGCATGTTTAATAGTTGCTTCCAAAAGCCCAGGTGAAATTTCAGAGTGAACAAGTTGATATGCAGCTCGGGCTCCAGGAATATCACCCTGCTGTTCTCGAAATCGGGCAGCGAAGAGGTGGATCTCAGGTTGTCTCTGTATTGAATAAAAAAACTGCTAAAATCAATACATCACCATACATAGAAAAGGAAATCAATCAATAGGGTGATCCTATTGAAAAACGGAAAATGATATGCATATCAAATCAAAATTGAGAAATTCATCCATTTCAATTATATTAACTAATATTTGTGAGGGCGCAAAAAAACTTATAGCAGCCACATCATTGTAATGCTGTTGATATCAGCTTAGTTTTAAAAGGCGCAAGGTGCATCGAAGCCATTTAGGTAACCAGAGTCAAGACGCGAAAACAGCATTGCAAAGCAGTTGATATATCACTAGTTTCAAAGGGGCAAGATGCATCAGAGGCATTTTAGGATCAAGGAGCCGAGGCACGAAGGAAAGGAGTGTGTTTCACAGAACTGAGGTGTAAGAGGAAGAAGAGGAGAAGCAAAGGCAAGCGCCTCCTGGATCGGAGGAAGCAGGAGGAGAAGGGGCAGAAGAAGAAGGACAATAGCCCTGTGCCACTGGCAATCTGATGAGCGACGGATCTTCATTCATTTTTGTGACCTGTGAATTTTGTTTGTGTCATCACTCATCACTTTTAAATAAATAAAAAAAGTATGACAAAGATCTAGGGTTCCAAGAGGGCAGCAGAGGCACTATGCCTCATGTCTACAGAAGAGGCATGTGACTCATGGAACCTACTGCGCGCAGACTTCCTGGGGCAATATATTTTACTGCCTCTGCATGCCTCCAGGGCACTTTATAAACTTAGGATATAACAACCTCCACCTACTCACTATAATGAAACAAATTGACATAAGAAATATCAGTCACACAGATAGTGATTATGGAGCACGTGTTAAAAAACAAACAGCAATACCTTCACAAAAACTTGAGTTGCACGAACAATGGCATTATCAGCAAGATCCATACTTCCACTAGCCTCCATGCACAAAATATATCTTATCCAATATTCAGGATAATTCGCACAAGCAATCAGGCATCGCTCATACAGTTTGACAACCTGACATTCACAGAAATTATAGAGTCAAAAGTTCGCATTCCAGCCAAACGAAACAAATAAACTTCAAAACAAATAGATATAAGGAGAAATTCATAATAGTACTCCGTTGGGCGGATCATGGAGGCCCCTCTATTATCAATGAGGGACCGTCCTTGACTGACATGGTTAGGAAGATAAGAGACCTGCATGCATAACATTTTGACTTTAAAGCAGGGATTACACCGTACAACACATCATGAACCTAGAATGTCGACTCACAATGAGAATTTGAGGTACTTAGCCTTACAGAAAGCAAATTGGATGGTTCCTGCGTTATCCAAGTTCAATATCCCGTTTTAAAGATGCTTCATCTGATGATTTAGCCGATAAAGCATATGGTGCAGCTATTACTTAACTGTTAGTCAATACGAAATGAGGACGGAAAAATCTAACCACATAAACAGAAAAACACCCAGTATAACAACAGTCCCAAATACCTTATTGAAGTCATCATTTCCTTCAATGAAATCAAGATAATTGTGCCAGTTTTCGAGCTCTGCAGAATTTAGGGGGCGAACATGGAAGTAGGGTCTCCTGATGGCAGTTTCAAACCCGATGATCTTAGAATCAAACTCTTTGGCCTTCTTATAGATCTCTTCTCTAATGGAGATGTACTTCTCCAACTCCTCTGCATCCTTTAGGCTTGAACTTGCAGGCTTCAAAGACTCTGTGTTAGGATGAACCTCTCCTTCAACTTGCTCAACAATGGTGGTATCAGAACCAGTAGCAACTGCTGCTGCTTCCTTTTCTTCATCAGTACGCAATTCTGATAGTGGCCTACTGGCAACCAGCTCCTTGAAACTGTGAAAGGATTGCAATCAGCCAGAGAAAAATCATTTATAATGTGATAATGCATTCAGCCATTCAGGTATTCAGTATGTCCTTTGTACCCTCGAGGACATTTAATTCACTGGATTAATCGCAACACCAGTGATATATTTCATGTTATGCTCATAAGTTGAAATGGTGTGACAATAAAGAAAAGAACAATATGGATAAAATCTTGATCTTCGGATGTCTTGAGCATCCAAGAAACCAGTACAACCACACAAAAGCAAAATGCAATCCACTTGACTTTTTTACGAAAGTGACACAGGAGCTTACCCTTCAAAGTAGCGATCCAATTGTTGATTTGGAATTTCCAGAACCCGTGTGTAAATTGTGGCAACATGTGGCCATGATTGTTGTGTATACTCGTATTCCAGGTACTTATCCCACAAAGGAAATGATAGGTAGTCTGTTCCAACATACGCCAATGCTCTTTCAAACAACCTGAACAAGACCAAGAAGCTGTAGAATTACAAGCTATGGACTTTCAACATGTCATACAAATTACAAATGCATTCAAGAACATTGAAGAGGATGCATTGATTCATCCAAAGAGCATGATACTTCCAAACTTTGACACAAATACACTTCATTTACCTTCCTCAACACTATCATACCAGGTCTCGGAAAGAGCACTCATAGATCATCTTAGCCTTATCGGATGGACCTTCTTGGCAGCAATTGTATTTTGATGCACCTCATGTGCATTAAAAACAGCAAAAAATCATGGAGAACTACATGGACTATGACACAGCCCTAAGGAGAAGGGAAAATATAAGGGGGAGATAATGCCATATTAAAACGAATCCTAATAAATTCAGACAGCTATCGGATAGAATGGCCAAGAATCACAAGTTATCGCGGGTTGCATTCCAAACAAACCTTTACACCACATGTGAAACAGCTGTTGCATAGTTGCTAGTATGCTGAAATAAGATTAGAAAGGAATCGAGCACTCTCTAGTGTGGGAGAGAGGGACACCATTGAGCAATGATCTCCAATGCCAATGATCCCCCAAAAATAAAAGTAATAAATGATACAAATCAATGAAACATACCTTCTAATTGTTTCAGGATCTCCATATGTGTTTATGGCAAATACACAATAGTGCAACCACATATCTACAGAATATGTCACTCCTTGAACTGCTCGCTCGTATACCTCAACAACTTTATCCATAGAACCAATCCGTGCCTCATGATCTGCATACTTCTTCCAGTAACCATAACACAAAGGAAACTCCGCCAAAAATGTATCATAAACTTTACGAATCTTCACAATATTCCCCTGCACATATTAAAAAAATATCCATATCAAAGCACAAGAACATGCCAAAACAGGTTATAAGTAATTAAAAAACAATAGTGTATGCCCCCATTTGTCCTTCTAGGTTTCTTTCATTCTTTTCCTTCTGTTTTTAATCTTATTGGGATGGAGGAGAGACTGCTACCAATACATGTATGCAAGTAACACCAAATAATGGGAAGCACGCTAAACCATACCTCAGATACTTTCTCAGTTTCCTCTATAAGGGCAGTCCAGGCACCAAAATCTAGAGAATTTGTTCTAACAATGCTCCATAATCGTTCCTCTTCATGAGATATTGCTAAAACATTTAGATATCAAGATTTCAGTAAGTCATGCTGACAAAGTACGGGTGGTAAAAACAGAACTAACGCTGAAATTCCAAGCCCAAGGCACATCTCATCCATTAATACACTGTAAGATGTCCAATGAATCACTAGATGAAGACCATCCATCATTCCAAATATAAATAAAAAATAGGCACTTAGAACAAGTAAAGAAGGAAACGTTAATACTAATAATAGCCAACAATTGGTTAGCACACACATAAGATGTCACTTGCTTCAAAGTACGCACTCCCTCTATCCCTTTTTATCTTCATTCCTATTTCCTTTATTCTGACGTTATATCATCTTTCAATTTTGAAAACGATTCATTGATATATATTACTTTTCACTAAAAATAGCGCATGGTCAGATGAGGAAGATAATAAAGGGACAGAGGGAGTAAGAAACTTTGGCTACATATGAATGGTAACACACTCCACATTCACAAAATTACACACTTGAACTTATGATTGATTCATTACCAGAATCAGCTACTGGCTGATGCATTGTGGCGGAATCATGAATACTGTCTGATTGTATTCCATTTTCTATGACACTGGTGAATACTGCATTTCCCACTTCGCTATTATTACCATTTATAGAAGTAGTATATGAGGTAGCTTGAGATGCATCTACTTGTCCAGTGACAGTAGGGATTTCCTGCTGAGCGGAGTCTGTAAAATTAGCCGCACCTACATCAGAACTTCTATCCACAAGTGGCGCAGATGTAACCGGATCTCCAATACTAGTATGTGTTGCTGAATATTCTACAGAGGTTTTAGGAACCACGTTGTTCTCCAATTCAGAAGTATTTGAACCAACAATTTTGTGATCAGCAGATTCATAGTCCATGGCAGTTGAGGATTGAGTCACCACAGTGCCTTGATCAGTCATTGCTAAGAAACAACCTGGAAAAATTTTAAGAGGAAAATGAATTATTAAGAATGCTAACAATTAGAACTCCTCATTGGGTTTTAAAATCAATTGTAAATGTTAATGAATGAATTGCAGATGGTCAAGACAACTGGAGTACATACTGTAGAGTAGCACGATTTAAATTAAACTTCATAACGAAAAGTGGAAAACTTTAGACAATCATTTATGGTTTTAATTAGCTAATGGTTCATATACTCGTGCCGATTACTCTTAAACACAGGGAACTCTCAGTAAAATAGCATAGCTGCGTAGATAACAACGAGGATGAATATATATTACTGAATCTTGTTTTCTTAAAAGGCCAGCCAAAACTGAACAGGAAAAAGTCTAACAAATATCAAAGTAGACTATCCGGTCAAGAAGCCCTCATGCTTATAACTAAAGTATCGATCATTCTTTTACAAATTGCTAAGCAATATTGGTAGCAATTTTGTGATCCAAAATTACAAAATTCTAACTTCTTAAAATTTATACCATCCCGAAAAAATGGAGCAAGAACAGCTTGTACACTCACTAAAAATTGAAGTAAAAAGTTCACTACTTCACACTACCAGCCCAGGATCTCTGCATAAAACTATCTATTCCCTAAATAACAATAAAGCTGACAAAATGCAGATTTGTCTATGCGTTAGATAACATTAAAAATTTAAACCAGACGTTTTAATGCAATAGATACTCGTAATATTTAAAAAATTACTAAACTCATATTTGAAAACAAAATAAAGAGTATGCAGTCAAATAAGTCCATTATAAACAAAAATACAAAAAATCCAAAACTGCAGAAACCATAAAGCAAACAGTGACAGAGCCAGGACGGGTGAGGGCGCTCCCTCACCTGTAATGAATTAAGCAAACAGTGTCTATATAAGGACTTCAATATATATTTTTTAGAAAATTATAAATTGGGTAATGCAAATTCCTGGCTCCATCCCTGAAAGCAAATACTTACCTGAAACGTGCAAATAAAATAAAAAGTTTGAAGAGTAGTGAAATGTTTGAAGAGTATTTGATACACAAGTTTGGAAATATAGGGGTAGTAGAGATATAGAATATTTGAAGAGTAGTGTTTCAGATTAGAAAATTTGAGCATCTAAAAATCATTACTGACCAAGCAACTGCAAATTGTGTTACATGACTGGATAATTGAAAGTTTGAAACATGACATAATTTGTGTTCAAGATTATTTGATAAAAGTTGGAAGTTGAAGAGACGAATACTGAATATAGAGGGTAGAAATAAAATACCTGGATAGTGAAGAAAGATGAATTGTGGAATAGGAGGCAAGAGTCAAGGGGGGGGCTTGTAAAATTATGGATGTTTCTAGGTATACAAGTAATTATAGACTAAACTAGACTTGAGCTTTAGTCCAAATGTATATGTGATGTTAGTCCCCGTATGTTAATTTGCCCAGTATATTCAGGGAAGCTTATAACTAATTTCTTACAAGTAGTTCCTTTTTTATTCAAGTAATTGAATAAATCACATTAAAGTGAAGATAGTAAGATACCAGACTGTTCATTAGTCATATTATACAAGAACACAACTTAAAATATGTAAGTGCTAGTAGTATTTGTGAATGTTAAAATATTTTAAAAAGTTAAGTAACTAATATTAATATTAATTTACTGGAAAAATCATTTCAAAATGAAAAAACAGTCTCTGGTGGTTGGTCATAAATGAGTTTGGTTTGGATATTAGGTTATATAAACTTATCTAATACTCGGTATAATGTTTGTTTGAGAAATAAAGGCATTTTGTCATTAGAGAAGAGACTATAATTATTCCTTTCGCTTGAGACATTCACGGTCCAAAGGTGTTTTATAGTAATACAACTCATTCTCCTAATGTTAAGTAGTTGATGCATGATTTTTCAGGTGATAAAGAATGACTGACACGTAACAACTACAGAGTTAAACACAAATGATGGTTGAGAAATTAAACGGTGCCATTAATATATGTTTATCTGTTAACTTTTTTACAATAAATTATTTAATTGTTTATTGTGCTTAATTGACTATATCCTCTGTGAAATACTCGTGATAAATTTAAGCGCAGTGTTCAGCTCTGCGTGACAAAATATATAACTATTAACAGTTTGACACAATAGTAGGAAAGTGATGTACAAAAGTTATTTGTAGTGAAAAATTTCACCGTATAACTTTTTATGTTGGTAAATGTTATGAACGTCGATGGTAAAGGAAAGTAGGAAAAAAATTGTACAAAATCATAAGTCCAATTCTGTAATTAGAACTTCAAAACCTATGCAAATAATGAAATCATATCTGGCTGTCAATACCTAGTTGAACTCCTCTGAAAAACAAAGGGAGCTAAGTTACGCCGTTAGAGAAATCTGTACGTTGTGTAATTAGGGTTTGAAGAGTACACCAGGTATTAAGGGAGTTTAGAAAGTGTTGACTACAGATTACAAATTGGTACCTGGAGGAATAGAGAGAGCGCTGGGGAAAGTGGTGGAGTAGATCTTCCAGAGGCTTTAGGTTGCTTCGCCGTTTCAGCCAGTGTAGAAAGATGTCTGCCTTGCTTATGGAGGTTTACTGAGTTTCGAAGATTTCCGCTTGGGGTGTAGAGAGGTGACCGAGTGAAGTAGGGTAGTCCTTTCCTGATTTTGTTGTGGTTCGGCTAACAGATCATGGACCTGATACTTCCGAATTTTGAATGATTTCAAATTTTCAATAAGCATTTGACCCAGCCCATTATCAACTACTCCTATTTTAGTTTGGCAAAGGCCACAAAACTTGAATTGATGTTTTTTAATAAGATATACAAAAATGATGTTTGTACACACTCTTATACACACTTTTGTACACACCTATGTCTGTGAAAGTTTTATTTTTTGTCTGTGAACATCGATTCAGAGACAATGTTTTGCACAAACAAAATATTGTCTGTGAACCGGATTCACAGACAAAAAAAAACTTCACAAACATGGTGTGTATAAGGTGTGTACAAGGGTGTGTACATCAAGAATTGTTGTAAGATATATGTACTCTACATATACTCTATAAGAGCATCATCGATGGGACACCGTTAACATGGAATAAATTATGACACATGACAATTAATGAATGGAATAGTCATCCACATCATGTTGGAGTGGCATAACTTGACTGTGAAGCCCAAAAAATAAGTCTAATGCTTCATGTTAGTGGCCTAAAAAATTCATGCGTACATCATATTTGATTAAAACCCTCCCACATACATGCACGCCAAACCTACGAGACATATTGTCTCCTGCGTGCTCTCCTACCTTCTATAGCAATTTCTCTTGAGATCAAAAGCCACAGACTATGTAAAAATGGAAGAATCTATTAACTTACCAGAAATTAAATGCAGTGAAGAAGAGAAAGCTTCTACCTTGGAAGGAACATCTACGGAAGCTTTGATCAGGGGCCAAAGGGGTGGAGAAAAGTGAGTGGGAGATATCATTTTTCCCACTACTTATCTCGTAAATGAATATTTTGGCCGAAGATTTTTTTATGGACGGAGATATTTTCTACATTGGCGGTATTTCTCGCACACGTTTTGGTGAGTCATCATTTCAAAGACCATGTTATCATAAAACAGTGATGTTAACGATGTTTTAATTAATGGTTGACATGTCAGCATCACATTGGTGATAACATACTCTGTTGGAGAAGAATATATCACCGAAATGTTAGACTGTGATGACAAAGCAATTTTTTTTAATGTCAACAGTCACCATTGGTGATGCTCTAATATAAAATCAAAAAATATCAATGACATTTGGTATGATCCGGTTGTTCGAGAGGGTGTGGGTCGTCGGTACCATCATTTATTGGGTAGGGTAGGATAAATAATACTCCCTCCGTCCCCCTATAATTGTCTCATTTTTTCATTTTTGGATGTCCCTTTATTATTGTCTCATACCATATTTGGTAACATTTGTGTGGCTCTAATTCATTCTTACTTTATTTCCACTTTATCAACTCATTACCAACCACATAATTCTACTTTTCTTAAAAACCACACCACTCCCTTCCGTACCGATATTATGGGGACGGAGGGAGTATTTTAGAACACTGAATTTAGGGAAGGAAGAATATCGTTAAAAGCATTTGAATAATAATACATCATCTCATAGCAACTAGCGTCATTAATTTTAAAAAATCAACAACAAAGTATTCATTGTGTCTCGCTGTATTTATCTCATTGTTTTCATTTTTGATTGTCTCACTATTATTGTGAGTTGTGACATACCTTATTTGGAAAGTGGGAGGTAAATATATAGACAAATGTATCCCTGCTTCAAATTTCTGCAGTGTTATTTTTTTTCTTTTCAATTGCATCGTGATACGCAACACTACTACACAACACTTTACATCCACAATTTTGAGTATTGTTGCTCTTTTGCTTTTTTAACTACTTGATTGTTTTATCACAAATTTGCCTTTTGTCTTGGTTGGCGTGTCACTCCCTTCCGTCCCAATAATAGGGGGGGCGGGGATAACGGTTAAATTGGTAGAAAAACATAACCCAAAAAAAAATCGCACGGGCTCAAAGGACCACAACAACAATGAAATGAAGAGGATCAATCGCATTAGAGTTAGGGAATAGGTTACGCTTAGAGGTATGCACCTCATACCATCTCCATAAGAAAGTTGTCACTGCCCCCTCCCCCCATAAGGAATGACTGTGAGCTAACTAGACTGATGTGGTGGAATTACATATTGGTTAATGTTGATGTTTTCATTTCAATAGGAGGGTTTATTAGTTTTTTGAAATAAAGCATATGGTTGAAGAACACTTAAAATACACTCAAGAACGCCTAAGAAACTATGTAAGTGAACATGTGTAGATTTTGATAAAAATTGTTGTATTTACACTTTGACAATAAGAGTATTTAAATAGTGGTACACGTAGGAACACTAACTAACTGGGAGCAAATCTCTACATGTAAGCTTAAGAATAATAAATATAGAGTACAATATAAGAGAAATACAATATAAGAGATAATGTTTAAGGATTATCTCTATCATGCCCTGCAAGATGGCCGGGTGTGTATGAAGTAACACCGATCTTGGAAAGATGGTCATGAAAACGTTCTCGGGGTAGAGATTTGGTGAGAAAGTCGGCCAGTTAATCTTCGGACTCCACATGAGCTACCTGGAGAATATAATTTTGGACATGCTCACGAATAAATGATAATCAAGTGCAAGATGCTTCATTCGAGAGTGAAAAACTGGGTTAGCACAAAGATGTGTAGCTCCCATATTACACAATAGATAATCGGTTGAGTAGGAAGAATAATATGGAGTTCCGCAAGAAGATACGAGATCCAGCAAAGTTCATCTGCGTTAGAGGCAACAGAGCGATATTCGGTTTCTGTTGAAGACCGAGCAACTATTTTCTGCTTGCGTGAACTCCAAGAAATGGCATTATCTCCAAGAAAAATAATATAGGCACCGGTAGAGGTGAAATTGGTCGAGTTACCAGCCCAATCAGCATCAGAAAAGGCATGTAAAGATAGAGAAGATGTGCACCAAAGAAGAAGACCATGGGCAATAGTATGTCGGAGGTAACGCAAAACGCGTTTCTCTGATTCCCAGTGGTCTTCGGTTGGACAATACATAAATTGAGAAAGCTTGTTCATGGCATATGGTGGGTCAAGGCGAGTAAGTGACAGGTATTGTAGAGAAACTACAATTGATCGATATTCTTCTAAATCAGGGAGAGGCTTACCAGTGGCAAAGCTCAGCTTTTTGTTAGAAGCCAGTGGAGTAGACCCCTTTGGATGTGGACTTTTTTGTACGTGCAAGCAGATCCAAAAAATACCTTTTATGGGATAGAGGAAGCCCCTCGCAATGAGAATTAACTTCAACTCCAAGAAAATGTGATAAAGCTCATGTGTCCTTAAGTGAAAAACGATGAACAAGAGCAGTAATAAGCCGTTCAATAAAAGATGAAGAATTCTCTGTCACAATAATATCATCAACATATACTGCAATATAGATAAGATGATACCATTGATGATAAATAAAGAGAGATGTATCCGCATGAGAGTTCACAAAACCAAGGTGAAGAAGAAATAATTTAAGTTTTTGATACCAAGCATGTGCACTTGCTTAAGTCCATAAATAGCCTCATGTAACCTGCTCAGGGACTACACATGCCCTTCTTAACCTACGTGTATCTTTATGGAGGTTAATCGCACCTTAAAGACTACACGAGCTTTTTTTAACTTATGTGTATCTTTGTAGAGGCTAATCGCACCTCAAGGGCTACATGGATCCTTGTTAACATGTGTGTATCTTTATGGGAGCTAATCACACCTCAACGACTACACAAATCCTTGTTAACATGTGTGTAACTTTATGGAGGTTAATCGTACCTCAAGGACTACAAGGATCCTTGTTAACCTATGTATATCTTTATGAAGGTTAATCGCACCTTAAGGACTACACAGGTCCTCGTTTTAACCTATATGCATCTTTATGGAGGCTAATCACACCTCAATGACTACATGGATCCTCGTTAACATATCTTTCCGTGCAAGTTCTTTAACAATACACTTTACATTATCACATTAATTCAACTCAGGGATAGCCTTTACCAAGACTACCTAGTCCCCTTAAGCCATTAATGAGTCCTTTCGAATCCAAGTCATGCTTCCACAACTAGCGTTGAGTCCTACCCAATGGCGGAACCAGGACTCTAGACTCGCAGGGGCTCATTAACAAAGAAATCATATATATCATGAATTCAACAATAAACAAAACTATAAAATCTAAATAAAACAGCTAATGAAATGGTACCTTAATTTTGATTAGCAACTGGAGCGTCAAATGAAGGAGAAATATTTGGAGATGGCAATTTATGTCTTCAAGGCGCCATACTCTGAAATCGCCTCATAGCGTCAACTGAATATGTCCTAGAATAAACTAGATCTCTCTTAATTTATTTTACAAGCAATTGTAATTCTAGCCGCGGTTCCAGTTACAAAAGATATCAATTAAATTATTCAAACACAAATTAAACGGCATTCATGCAATTAAACCATCAAGAATCTAGCCATACATCATGATCAACCCCTTCATCAATCCATCCCTAATTAAAACTACTCCCGACTCATAATTGAAGAATCAATAGAATTGAGAAGAAAAGAATTAATTGTCATTAATTAAAAAGGTGGACTTACAAAGAATCCCAACAGATTGATGAACAAGGATGAAAAGCTCTCTAAAATTCGTACTAGGCACTCTCTCTAAGCTCATCCTTGAAAATGGGTGTTTACATGCTGTTTAAATAGAAAAAATGGGTAAAATTTGAGTTGAATTGGGATTTCCAGAGGTAGGCACGGTGCCAGGCACGATCGTGTCTACGGAGAAAAAACGCGCATTTTGGATAGGCATGATCGTGCCTCCCTCCAGGCACGATCGTGCCTGCCTGGCAGTAGCTCCGCGATGTTTTCTCTTCACACACGATCGTGCCTTACTCTGAGGGCACGATCGTGCCTACTTACCTTCCGAATTTGGAAATGCTTCTTTCATGAAAGTTGTAGATAATGAAGTACTCTATCCACCCCAATTTGCCGAATGTGATTTTAATCATCCAATCAAGAGATGTAATCAAAATGGTGGAAGGTATCATTCTGAAA